CCTTTAAGGGGCTGTATCTTAACAAGGGATGCCCCAATGAAATTTCTTTATATGAAAGATCCTATCTTTTTTCCGATGAGGAATCACCTCCTTAAATGTTTTACACTTATTTAGTTACACCCTGTATATGGTGAATTTTTATAAAAATGAATTATTATATGACAAAACACAACCGAAAGAAACTGCTACAACGAAAATTAAAATATGGCAACATGTATGGATGATGCCTCTTCTGAGGAAAGATATAGATTTCTTAATTGAACTTCCTATCATCTATAGGATTGAGTTTTCACTTCATATTTAATTTTTTTCTTGCATTTTTGTTCTGGCAATAATTTTCTGTTTGTACTTCGTTACATTGTTCTTTGTACTTTCAACTACGGTTTCAATAAACAAAAAAAAACTGTAAATATCTTTCACAACGAAAAAAAAGGGAACAGCGTTAATGGACTATCAAGTATGATATTTCTCTTTGCATCCACTTTCTCCAATTTTACAAATAACATGATATGATCAGATCACTCATATTTGGTATTATAAATAACAATTGGAATTGTTATTTCAGATGAAGTCATTATGTAGCCTGCTTGGATATTCTGGAAATTTGAGTAAACAAATGATCTCTTATCGCCAAGCTGATTGACATAAGAAAAATGAGCCTCAGTTAATTTCAAGGCTTATTACTCAGAATGGAAGACCATTGTGAAGACCATAAAAATTAGTTTAGATGTGCTACTCTAGTTCGATTTCGATCATGCAGGATTGTTGAAATGATTCTAATGATTCCGGTGAGTAAGAAGTATGTCTAGACCCTAGCAAAAGTCCAAAAATGTGCAATTAATGTTTAATGAACCTTTTTCCTGAAGTACGAAAAATTACTCACTAGCAGCGCTAGTAGTTCGGTAGGGACAAACACTGCCTAATCCTCATATAAACATATAGTGGAGTGCCTGGAGCATTCAAAACCGTAAAACCTCGGATTAGAGTTATAGTGAATGAATTAATATTTCCAAATTACCTAAAATTTTTTTGTGGACTCCATTTTTTCATTGTTTAAGCAAATTATCATAAAAAATTAATGTTTGACCATATATTTTCACTTTAAACAGTAATTTTTTTTATTTATATGTTAAATCTTACCTGAGTAGACATATAGGAACATTTTTCAAAGATACCTGTGTATAAAAATAGCAGTAGGGATCTCGAACAGGTAGAAAAACGTGGAGGGNTCGAATTTTTATTCGGTACTGTCATGAGCTGTCGCGAATGATAGGAAGCTTTGTCAAGAACTATTACACTATTTGTATCCAAATTTGGGATCAATGCGTTTTCAAACCATTCCTCGAAAATATTAGCTTCCATGTTTTTATGATAAACAACATTGCAGTCCTCAAGTTTTTTTCCAAATAATTTCAGAGAGTTCGGAACCCATCCTTTACTTCCTCTGCAATGCACAATGATTAGTGCGATCCTTTGTTTACAGGCATGTTAGGCGTACACATCCTCAAACCATCAGTCCACCCTTTCGTAACTGTGTCGTGAGCGTCATACAAAGTTTCGTCCAAATACAAAATTTGCCGTTGTTCTTGTCTATATTTAGATATTTGTTATTTGTTCTAAGTATTTTTTACGCAATTCCACTATTTTTCTGCTTGCCATAACTGCCTGACGTTTGTTTATTATTTTAAATCTAAATCCTATTTTCTCTATCAAATTCTGAAGAGTTTTGTCACAGCAGCTCACGTTATGGCCGGAAGTATTCAATTTCTTCCTTATGTAGGAATCTCTTTGCTTTTGTAACAGGCGTATATTGTTTTTTTCAATGATTTTATTAGATGAACATCTAAAGGTTTTGGTAATCCCGTATCACATCACGTCTTGCGTTTATAAGGTTTGATTTTGACTTCTGAGAAATAACCAACATTACCACTGCAACTAAAGTACTTTAAGGGAATACTCGTACTCTTTTGAATTTGCCTGTCGTTTGGAGGTTCCTAAGTGTAACCCCAACACTGAAGATTCCATTCAAATCTTTATAAATGAATGTTTTATATCATCATCACATATGATGTTTTGGAAAACAATACAACCATTTTCGATAATTTTTAAATATTTTGTCAGAAATTTGGAAGTGTGAGAGTGGAGAAGAAAGAAACGAACTCACCGATTGTCCTGGGGAGTCGCTTCGAATTTTCCATACATTCCGAACCAAATTCGATACCTTGCTGAACAACGGCTTCTCCGGGCACCGATACGAAGTCTGAAGTTAAACAAAAGGACGGGTTTAATACATTTAATTGCTAAATTATTATTACGAATATTTTTATCAAACAATGTGATTTTTGAGTTGTATCACTCAATTTTTCCAGTTTTTATTTTTTTTGAAGACAATCTGAACACAAAGAAACCCCTTTCCATCAACTTTGAATTGTAGATTGTAGTACTATTCTTATTTTGTTCAGTCATATGATTGTTTTTCATAGTGATTTACGTAGACTGAGAAGTGATACAAACAGAGATATCTACTTTTAGTAATGTCGCACTTAGAATCGGTGGCTTCTGTGTATATGTCTGAAGAGACTGATGGAACAGGTGGTAACATTGCCTGAATTACATTCTGAAATAAAATAGATTGTATGTGTGGAAGATGAAATTTAGAAAGGGTATTTTCTGTGCCTGGCTTGACATAGAGAAAACGTATTTGTGAAAGTAGTAAAGAAGTAAAATTTTTGAGAATCATCCATCAGAATAAATTCCCACTTTTTGAGGTATTTAAAGATATTGATTTGAAAGTGAATCATATAAGTTCATATTTTGAAATTGTTGATTTTAACTAATTGCAGAGTCATCAGGATTTTTTTACAATAGTTTTTTGCATTATAGTTCTGCCAGGCAAAATCATCAAAATCATAAAGAGCATACAATTATAAAAAGCATTGAAGCACAAAAATATAAAAGAATAAGAACCAATTGTATAAGGGCCAAAAATAGCATAAATACAAGTGAATGTATAAAACAGGAATAAATTGGACACAATGCCGGTGTGTAAAACAAAAGTTCCTTTATGATTTTTGGAGATAGGATTTCGATCAGAAGTTTTGTGAGGTTTAGTGCATTAAATTCTAGGGTAGGACCCTGTATTTTGTTATTTTTACTATTGAGCAACCATTGGAAATAATAGTAAATTTCAGAATATTGACACTCGTCGACGATACAAAAACTACAACAAAAAATACAGGCTCGTATTCAAAAACTCAAAGATGAGGGTGGTCCAAGTCAGATGACACCCTGTATAAAAGATTGATGGACATATTCTGATAGCCCACATCAAGTGCCAATAGCAAAGTATGGATAGATTTTCAATATGTCTGCGAATAAAGAAGATATAGTCAAAAAAATAATTTGGGATTTTTTTGTTTTTCCTGTATATCTCCAGAACCAAAAGAGCTATATTCGATTTCTT